CTCAGGGATGTAGAATGCGTGCCGCATTCCAAAGGGGCCATTCAACGGCGGATACTTCCTCCTCTATCCTTTCATCCTTTTCTGCATTAAAATAAGTGCTGTAAGCGAAAGCATTCCGTAAAGCGCATAGTTACTGCAATAACACATGGAGCATCTGCACATTCGCTTAGATGGTTCAAAAGTTGCAATTCCGGCCTTGCAGACATGTATCACGCAGGATGCTTTGATGATTAGAATGATTAGATGGGTAGCGATTGGATCAGCTACTCCTCTTGGGGCTAATCTAGAGGAAAAGGGGTATGTGAGAAGAAATCTTTCCGTGCCGTGCTGGCGGGCATCGCGTGCGACGTCGTGCCCGCAAAGCTATGGTTTGATAGTAGATGGCGACGACAGGCAATTCAGAACCGAAAATAATCATGAATGTCTTCAATCGACGAGTTAGAGACACATGGCACGCTCAAACACATTGAGGGTGTATGAGACTATCAGCCCCCCAGCTGTCGATGTGTCGTGGTCCCCCGCCCAAAACTGCACGGGGTCAGAGTACGGGGCCGTGGGAAAGTCGTAATTCCTTGCTACACCGCCCGTTTTGCAAACTGCACTTTTACGGCGCGTGTCGCGTGCAGCTCTCTTGGCTTTTTGCCAAGTCCTGTAATTGCGCTTTGGAATACAAGTACAACGCAATTTCTTTATGCGGATAACAGGTGCTGCAAAATAAGAACCGAAGATGATGACGAGGGCTAGAACTCAAGAGCAACTGTGGTGCTTCTGCAATATCCCTCAGAGGCCGCGCATTCCCACAGAACATGACAATAAAAACGGCCTAAGCGTCCCACTCGTTAGTTTGAAGTATTTCTATAGCTTTAGAGCCGGATTCGAGCCGGATGTCAAGATTGTCATGTTTTATTGTCATGTTGTCCGTTTTTATTGTCATGTTCTGTGGGAATGCGCGGCCTCTGAGGGATATTGCAGAAGCACCACAGTTGCTCTTGAGTTCTAGCCCTTGTCATCATCTTCGGTTCTTATTTTGCAGCACCTAAAATGTTATCCGCATAAAGAAATTGCGTTGTACTTGTATTCCAAAGCGCAATTACAGGACTTGGCAAAGCCAAGAGAGCTGCACGCGACCGCGCCGCGCGGACGGTGTTAGTAAAAACGTGAATTTC